ATCTGGTATTCTTTTTTAGTTTTTTCAAAGCAATTATTTTACTACATGCATTCCTTCTATGGCAGTACATTTTTCTTTCTTCTGATTTTAGTTAAATGCTGGGTCTTTGTACATTTCTAGTTTTTAATCGGAGTGCTGTACTGCTGTTTTAGAAGGAGTTAATAATAAATTCATATAAAAAATTTTAAAATTGATTAAAATTTTCAAATTGCTTAATCCAATTTAGATTTCAGTCTGAGCAAATTTCAAGCTTCTCCTATATTTCTAACAAATGTAATTGCGGTTTTCGAGTCTTGTGTTGCCTGCAGTTAATGTTATTTCAGTCTCCATTTTCTTCTGTAGGAGTGCAAGTTCCAAGGTGCAAGGCATGTAACAACATCCTAGGAAATTGTTTCGGGGCCATATTTGAAGCATCATTGAGGAGCCTTGCCCCTAGACATGGGGAGACAGATATGAGAAACTATACACAATTTAAGACTGTCACACGTTTGATTTTTCAAAAGTTTCCAATTTGATCAGACTTGAATAGTCAATTCGCTTACATATTGGGTGTGAAAGAATACATCACTTGCCCCACTTTGCTTGACTTTTCAACTTTGGATTTTGGGTTTCAATTTCTTGGCAAGTTCAGGAACATTGACTATCACAATCGATCATTGTCTTAATTGATGAAAGAAAATGATGCAGGATGCAACCCCATAACTGAATTTTCTACACCAAAATTTTCAAAGTAAAAGAGAAGAAGAAGCAAAGTGAGTAAGGAGTATAGGGCATTATGGAAACCTTGATTTACAATTTTTGTAATCGTAGAAACACAGTCAAAGCTAAAGATTTAAGCATAAAGATTGACTCCAGGAATCATTTCCTTTATTTATATATACCACCCAATTAGAGGTAGCCAGCACATGCCCTTCAAAATATACATATAGTTATCAATATTATTATGTTACAAAAACTGATCTAATATCTATATAGCCATCTTTGCTACCATCCCACTTAATATTTATTTACTATTATTACTTCTTCTAGTGAGATGAGTGTCAGAGTGTGTAAATAGTCCTATACCTAAAAAGCTTCTCCTATATTCCTAACAAATGTAATTACAGTTTTCGAGTCTTGTATTGCCTGCAATTAATGTTACTTCACTCCCCAGGTTCTTCTGTAGGAGTGCAAGTTCCAAGGTGCACGGCATGTAAAAACATCCTAGGAAAATGTCCTACTCTGAGGTTTGGGGAGGAACCCTGCCCCTGGACATGGGACGACAAACAGAGATGAGAAACTCTACATAATTTACGACTGTAACACATTCGATTTTTCAAAAGTGTCCAATTTGTTCAAGCTTGATTAGTCAATTCACTTACATATTGGATGTGAAAGGATACATCATTTGCCCCACTTTGCTTCATTTTTCAACTTTGGATTTCGGGTTTCAATTTCTTGGCAAGTTCAGGAACATTGACTTTCCCTATCGGTTATTATCTTAATTAATTGAGGAGTGAAGAAATTTCTGCAACAGTTGACAAATTCACAAGGTTTGAAGCTTCTATCTCAGCCTGCCCCTGCATAGGAGGAACTGAGGAACATGGGGATCAACAACTCCGATTTTTGAGTTATCATAATTGATTTTCTGCACATAAAACTTTGCTGA